AAGAGATCTGGGAGAGAAAGGGTTAACTATTCTTAGATGAAGTGCGCTCTCTAAATCCATGGTATATTAAGACAACACGAACGAGGCGAACAGGCTAATAGCCACACTACGAAAGAGGCTTGTTGGCAAGCGAGTGCCATTTTGTAGTCAGGAAAGTGACGACGACAGCACGAGGAAAAGAGGAAAGAAAAAAACGTCCTTCACTTCCCTTCCCGCCCCTCCCCTCCCCTCCTCTCCCTTGTCCCTCTCCTTACTGATACTCTTCAAGCTGTTATGTACGAATTTCAGTCCACAAGCTATCTATCGAGATAAGTAATTAACACGTCACCTCTCCTGTGATAAAAGTAAGTGCATCCCATGGAATCTGTCCTTCTGCTAAGAACATCTTTAAATTGTCCAGCGCTGATTCACGATCAGAGTCGTTAAACTCATACTAGCGATGAAAGTTTTGACAATAAAAATTATCAAGTAGCGTAACAAACTAAACATGTACTTAAAGAATACTAGAAACACATATAAATGTGCTTCAAATACTAATATTCTACCACTGAAATCTTTATCAAATTCACAAAAAAAGAAACGAATAAAAAAAAAAACACAAAGAAATTTGATACGTTAGCAACTTTTATGATTTAACATTTAAGACTTTAGATTCAAAAATCTGTAAGGAGTCTATCTCTTAATTTTCTTTCACGAAGAAAAACGGACTTGCAAAACTGAAAGAAGGCATCCAAACTGTTTCACATCTGAAGAGTCCCTTGTATAGTAGCGCTCATAAGGAACCTACAGTTTGTGTATCTCGAATGATATATCCCATTTTTGTGAGGATATTTGCATTAAAAACAGAAAAAAATCAATTCAAAATTCAGCATCCAGTCGCTTACTAGTTTAAGAGACGAATATAACACTAACCTTGATGTTCCAACCGAGTGGACCAAACTTCTTCCGTTCCTGAATGATGGCATGAAAGAAACAAATTCCAAACACCAGCTTCCGCCATGTTACGCCGAGAACTACGGGTTAAAAGAAATCGTATTTAAAGACAAGGCCACACATCACTCAGGAGAAAAAAACACAAGAAAGTCCTGTTAAGTAGCATGAAATTAACAGAGAACCTCTGAGTAGTTTACAACAGTGCAATTTGCGTGAAGTGATGTGAAACGGGCACAGCAAGGTTGAACAACTGAGTAAAATGTAACTGGCCAGCGCTGAGCCATTTAATTTTTGTCTGCGCAAATTCGAAGAATGAGCAGGATGGCTGATTACGTAGACTAAGAAATTATTGATTTTAACATACTTATTAAACACCTGAACTGGAGAAAAACACTTTATGCAGATCACAAGAAAGAACCTTTCAGCATTCATGTAAGCTACACCCAAACGTAAATATGCATATTTTCCACGCTGTCATCTACAAATTCATTTTGGTACTAAAAGGGAGGAATCTTTTTAACGATCAAGAGTTTCTAAAGTTAGTGATCATTGTCGTTATTCTCATGACCTTTATGTTTGATTCAGGGGTGATACTATCAGGAGAAATTAGGTGCTTGTCACCCTCAGCAGTAAAAGCTTAAAGGAGCTATGGTGTGTTTTAAAATGAAGATATAGTATATTAGTATATTAGTAGATTAGTATATTTAGTCAAACGCAGTATTATTAAGATTTTTATTCAATAGTTTTTGATTAGTCACGTTATTCTGTCAGAAAAAAGTGTTGCGCGACAGTCTCAATAACGAAAAGATAGGAGGTAGCTCTTACTATGGTTTTCAAAAGAGTCAGAGCTGAGTTCTCCAAATGCTCTCTTAGCATTGGCTCTGAGTCCTTTTGGAGGCTCATTCGTCACTTTGACACTGTTTTGTAAAACCGTTACTGGAAAACTTTTTGTTGGCATGGAGCTCAAGAACAACCGGAAGTCCTCGTGCACTTCCGCTTCTGGTGACGATAGATTCTTTATAAGGGTTTCCATTGCCAACATCCAGGAGGCGGCGAGATGACAATTCTAGAAAAATGAAACGACAAGTATAATAAGAGAACAAAACAAATAAAAACTTCAAGCAAGACAAAACACACTTGCAGGAGAATTGTAGGGGGAGAACTTGGAAATAGAGTGAGCTTTTTTGGATCTGCTTTTGTTCTCAAAACCAGACCGAGACCAACTGATCAAGTCACGCCTGGTAAAAAAAACTCTTACCTGAAGGAAGATCCAGTCTCCTGTCTTGGTTGCATTAGCGATCATTTTCTCTGCTACGGGCCCTTGTCCTTGACCCAACGAGATTGCCTGTATCCTAGATAGAAAGTGCACAAATATGTTTATTAATAGTAGAGGCTAACCTTGTAAAATCCTTTTGTGTCATCCCTTAGAAATCATTCATAGTCAGTCACTTGTAAACCATTTGAATTGCTGAAGCAATAAACCGGAACAGATGTACAAATATGCCGTAACGAAGCAATTCGATTTTACCTCTCGCTGTAACTCATGTCTCTGGCGAATCTGAGGAAGGCGTTCATTGGATCGGAGCCAGTGGAAAGAATGAATATGAGAGGCGTGGTTGGCCCTACGTCAGAATATAGAGTATTAAGGTCTATGGACGGACTCTCCACAAATGTCTTGCCCAGGTTCTCACAAACGAAATCCACGGCAGCAAACACCACCTGCGGAATAATGAAACACAATGTGAAAAGTTGTCATTAAAACTAACTCTCCATGGCGCTGCCTCTCATCTTAGCAGCGAAAAACGAAATTTGTTGTTGACGCGACACTCAACGAAGGAGGAGAATGCTGCAGACACCGTACATTTACATCTCCAACATTGAATAGTACATAGGAAAATTGACACTGATCAAGTTTAGGGATACCAAGAGAAAGTAGTAAATTGCTATACATAATTTTAAACATGGTTTTCAGAGCATGCTTCTCCTATAAGCAATGTGGTAAAAGAAAAACCTTATCATGTGTAGCTGAAACACCCCACTTCCCCCTCAATGCTTTACTTTAAATGCGTTTCAAATTTTGCCGTCTACAATCTTTACAAGAGGGAACAGTAAAACGTTTCAACAATTTCAGGGTTGGATTTTTTTTCTGCAACACACACAAAAAAGACATTTACCTTCTCCTCCCTGAATGCTTTGATAAATACCAATTTTTGAAAACTCGAGAGGCGATCAACCAGACTGGATTGTTCCTCTGCCTCTTCAGTCGCCTCCGTACTTTCACTTGTTGCTGTTGATCTACCATCACTGTCCTCTTTACCCGCCGTTAATAGTGGAGAGTTTGCGCATGCCTGATACAAGGGAAAACGGGTATGACTGTTAAGACTTTATCTAGTGCAAATATATAGTATGTCCTGATTCAAGAACACATCTTCTTAAATATTTTCAGTCGTAGAAGAACAATGATCCTTTCACCCTTTTCACCCTAACATCAGTATGCATATTCTCCATACTGTTCTCTATACATTTCCTACGGTGCTGACTGGGATAATTTGTCGAACAATCAATGGCTTCTTTAGGTTAGTGATCATTTCCTTTATTCTTGCAACCTCGATAATTGATTCAGTGGTAATATTGTGAGGAGAAATTAGATGCTCGTTGCAGGGTCAGTGGGTAAATGGTTTGGTTAACAGATTGAAGAGTGGTAGTTGACGGCTTGATGGGTTTGTTTATTTAAGAGCCAGGAAGGTTATTTAACAACAGGTGTGAAGATAATTGAGCGTAATTATAAAACAGTGTTTACCTCAATCGAGCCAATCTTGACTATGACAGGTTTGCTGACTATTTCCTGTTTCAAGCCACCAAAGGCCGGTAGGGAATCCTAAAAGAAAGCAATTAAATAACAAAACAAAAAGAGAATTCAGCGTAAAGAGCAACAAACTGTTAAAAAAAGAAAAAGATAGATGGTCACGTGCTATAAAGATCTCGTCAATTTCATTGCAATGTTTACTGATTCAGAAAAGCTATTTATTTTCAATCCTCACCGGTATATTAAGACCTGACCTAACTTAGCTTCATGGCTAAGTAAGTGAAAGCGCCACACCGGTATGACAGGAGGCTTATGGGCTCCAATTGGTTCAAGCCTCAATTTGTTTTGACAAAAGCCATGATTGTGTACATAACTCTTACGATTTCTTGTTAGCCAGAAAAAAACTTCATTTTCTTCACGTAAACTGTGGTAATTTTTTATTTCGTAACATGTTTTAGCCTGTTTGTTTGGGCGCTTCGAATAAGTTGAAACGGTGCTGAAGCCAGTTCTTGTAGTGGAGTCTAAAAGTATTCCAAAAGCACCTCTAGATCACAGCAAGTGTTCCAAGTTTGTTCTGTTAGCCAGGCAATATCAGGCTTCGGTGGACGTTCCTGTGATAAATGATACAAAAAAAAACCAATTTGATTTAGAAATGCTGCGGGTGTTACGAGAACCTCTTTAACATGCCAGATGTGCAGGACCCGTACACACGTGTCCTTTGACAAGTGCCTATGACTGACTTACCTTGTCTAAGCTTCCACTTCCTCTGAGGAAAAAATTCCATTCGTCGTCTGATATGTCTTCTCTTTGACGCATGATCTCACCGCACAACATGAACGAGAACACAAGCTTGTCTTTTTCAAACAAACCCCTGAAATACAAGGGCACACCGGCCAAAAAAAAAAACACATATCAGACATTAATATTTCAGCTTAAACTATAAAAGCAACCTAGCAAAGACTATGTTAAAGTCTTTAAGGATGTTAAGGATGTTAAGGATGTTAAGGATGTATTAATTGGTGTAAAGCCATGGTAGTAGGGGTGGGTGTTTAGTTCCTTTAATCGTATAAGGGGCATGCATTGAAAGCTAGTTACTAAGACCCACAAAAACTGCAAATTTTCTGCGTAAACGATTGAAAATAAATCAAACGTGCGGCGCTCTTCTTTTAACACAAAGAAGGAATTTGACAGTAATCAGACAAAGACACCGCATAACCGCGAAAGAGGTCGAGGGTTCAAACCCCAGTATGGAGCAACTGACCCATTCTGACTGAAAACCTCAGAGACCTTTGATTGCTTCCAATAGCGGACTCCAACCACAGTCAGGTGAACTCTTCGGTTCTCTAACTCAGAGAGCAATGAAACAGCTATAACCTTGTGTTGGTCTTGGCGGGAGACTGACAACCTACTTTTAGGAATTTTTTTTATCAAATGGCGCATCCATTCATATCAACTTTCATAATGAGTAGCATTCTCACCGTGCGACGTTAGTGTAAACAGAACTAGTGCAATTGGCGAGCAGAATTTGAAGTCGCTTGTCCAAGTCATCTGTCTTCTCGCTGTTCTCGATACAAGTGTTGAACAGCTTTAAGATAAATAAACAAATAAATAGAATAAATTTCTTCAATCAAAGTCAAAATGGCACAACTGTTACTCGTATGCTTAAAAACGAGGCGCACATCACACCTGCTTAAAGTACTTGAGGGAGTATTGGTACATGGTGTCCACCTCGGCCATGCTCGCTACCACAAAGTACATGACAGAGCCGCGTGTAGCCACAGGGCGGTACTTCTCACGCGCTAATGTTATCTTCTCCTCAGTCGTCTCGGCCTCTTTCAGCCGAGTGCTAATCACACCAGAAGTGACCTAGTGATAAGGCAAAAAGGATGTCATAAATAACCTGTAAAACTGTCTAACAATGATCGTTGGAGGTGATGTACTCGTGTGCTCTCACCTTGGATTCATTGAGAGTGTTGATAAGCACTTCGTCATCAAGAATATTTCCTTCAGAGTGAAACAAAAGTTTAAGGATTCTGTCCTCGATGGCCTTAAGTTGGTTTTTGTCGGAGTTTATTCTTACAATAAGCTGATTTCTCTGATCTTCCAGATCTGGTCTTTCCAGACGAACAACATCACTGCAAAGGAAATTTGCGGAAATCAGCTTCGAGTAACACTCATACCATGAACGTTCAATTTCGCTTTATATCAAAATCAAACATTCAGCCCGAGAAATTCCAGCAATTACAAGTCAGAATACCTGAGCAGCTGATCTTCAAGGCCTGACTTAGTAACAGTGAAGTTAATAATGGTCACTTTGATGCACACTTCAGGTAGATAATGAGGATTGGCCAGTTTAGTTGTCATATAAAACCTGACGTCAAAAAAAACAGATAACAATTAATGTGTGACGTTTAACAATTTTTATCACATTTATCCAATGTTGTTGAGCTTATTTTTGTGGAATGAAAAAGGTTTTTTAACTCCCTGAAAGTGAAAAATGTAATAGTTTAACGATGATAGCTGTTGTAACAGAAGCCAAAAAACTATTCTCCAATATTTTAGTTAAATGTAAAGTAACAAATGAGTAACATACTTGAAGTTCTTGTCATAGTCAATATCACTGTCACCCAGACGGATCAACAGACGTCCACCCTACACGAGAAAAGAAAATCTGCATCACAAAAGAAAACAATGAAGATGACAAAAGACAACCATAACACTATGTCTACATCACGACTGGTTGTGGCAGTCACGACAACATTTTTTCAATTTACCTGTGTAAAAGTCTGTTTCAGTAAGATTGGTTCCAGAGCAGGGTCCAGTGTCTCGCCGACTTCCTCTAGTAACACAGGCATCCCAATACGGATACAGTTCTCAAGGGTACGCAAGAAGTTCTGGTCGGTAAGCTTGATCACTTTAAGACCATTCTTGGCTTCTTTTGCTCGGATCCAACGGTTGGCCTAAACAGTTCGTCAGAAAACAAAAAACATACTTGTCCTTATCGTTTTGACTCCGATAATCTGTCTGTCTGTTTACTCTGTGTTTGTCTGTCCAAGTCTGTCTGTCTGTCTGAATCAGTCTGTCCGTGCCTGTTTGACTGAGTCAGTCTGTCTGTCTAAGTGTCTACCTGTCTATCTGCCTGTCTATCTGTCTGTCTATCAGTCTGTCTGTCTGTCTGACTTACTGACTGATTTCACTTCGCTCGCTAGCTTATTTATTTGTTTGTGGTTCTGTAAATCTTACTGAAACTAACCTGATCCTGGGGATCGATCATTAAAGGCCATCGCCGGCCCCTGGTCACCAAAATGGCGTTCTCGATTGACACCTACAGGAAAAATAATTTACAAAAGCTGACAAATTAGCTATTAAGTAAAAAAAAAACAAGAATGTAAGAAAAAAATTTCTCTGTTTCTTCGACAACAAAAAAAGTGTTGCGAGCTTTTTTTTAAGCAACACCTAAAGGGAAAAATCTGAATTGGGGCATGTATCACGACTTACTTTCGGAAGCCTATCCCAACTTACCGAATCCCTCGGAAGCCCATCTGCATTCCACTGTCTTATTTCAAAAGGATCGGCCAGCACATTGATGAGACTAAAGTCATCTGACACAGGAATTTCCAATTCTTTACAGCGTTGGATCCAAGATGAGATCAGCTCCTGGCGGTAGAGACTTGTAAACGCACCAAAGTAAGCCACACAAGCTGCTGCCACGAAAACATTTCCGACCACGTTACCAATCTCTAATTCAAATGCCTGACATTTGAAAAGGGAAGTAAGCATCAAATTTCGCTCAGTAATGTTCAGACAAATCTACCCTTCTCCCCACCCCTCTCTCAGAGGAGTTCACCTCCCTGCGAGCGATTCTCCAAAGAACAAACCAGATTATGAAAGAGTGCACTGAGTTCGAAAGTAAAATACAACGCTGTTCGAACTTTGTGAAACAGGGATGTGCCTTTCTACAGACAAACCGTTAAATGAAAACATTCTGATTATCTATTGATGACATACCGCCACATTCTCTGTCCAGCGTCCCTGTTCATCTCCCAGGGCTGTTGTTAGCTTGGATGCCCTCTTCAAACGAGCCGCAGTTTGTGCGATGTTCTTTGTCAGCGTTTCCTTCTCAGCAATACTATTGTCATAGGCTGCTTGAAGCTCTGCAATCTTTGGTTGGAAATATGTAAGTATTAATAATCGAATGGAGCATACTTATTCAAAATATTGTCTTTGAGCGGCTTGTTTTGTGTACAATCAGTATCTGAAAGTCGTCCGACTCTTATCCATTAAATTAAATTTTATGTTAGGCAGGTCTCATTCGATGCTAATCGAAGCAGCGACTATTGACGCAGTTCGTAGATATTTTTTGTTTACAAAAATTATAGTCCAAATCACCACTGTAATTTTTATTAGACTCAAACTTTAAAGGAAATAAGATGGTCTGAGCAGAATAGCAGTTTTCAAAACCACGAAATGCTCCGATTACGCCGATAACACATTTTGTTCATGGAATTTTTTCGCCTATTCAGCTACCTTAAAAAGAATATCACTCAACGATTTTTTTTTCCGTCCAGGTCCTGAAATTCAGTTGGCAAACTTCAGCCCTTTTTTAAGAATGCAAGACTTAGCAAGAGCCCTACATCTCACTCTTAAATGTGTATTTGATGCTCAAATTTAAGGAGAAATTGACAGAAAATGAAAAGCAAGAACCACTACAACTGTCAACCACAAATAATCTGAAGAGAGAATCTTTGTCTCGCACCCTATCGTTCTATATACGGGTACCTTTTCTTCCACCGCAGCCAGGCTATCTTGTTTTTCTTTTAATGTCGCCATAACAGCATCTAATTCCACTTGTGCAGCAGCAAGTCTGAAGAAAGGTAACATGTGATTAAGGACGGCTCAAGGGTTGGTGTTTATTTATGCTCGTTAAAATGTCTGTACTTCCAACAGCCACGTTGATCAATGACCAAACGCGCTAAAATTATTGACTGTCACAACATTGGTTGATAATCAAATTCGGAGTCGAATGATACAGACTTACGTTTGGAATATAACACTGGGAATGACATTCAGTTTTAATTATTAATACATACCTCTTTTTCTTTGGCTCCACCGTACGGAACACCCGAGCATACAAATCCATAGCGCGTACCCACATCACCATGGACCGGCAAGCCTGAGGAAATAAAGTCCGTTGCACAGATTATTAAGAACTAAAACAATCACCGCTACATGTACCCGGCTATCCGAGATAACCTTGATCAACTACTGACTTTGAACCCTCTTACCAAACAAAAATCTGGCAAATGTCCTACGAAAAAGCCTTGTAAAACGTCAGAAAAGCACGTGCGTAACTTTTCTGATACGAAGTTCCTTTACTCCCTCTCCCTCAAGTTGAATTAAAGGAGGCTCTAAAGGGTTTTTGACCGCGCGAGATCTAGATGCAAACATAGCGCGAGCTTTAATAATATCAACAAGCGAAACAAACGTTGCGGCTCGAGACGATCGCACGACATTTATCCAAAAGGTTTATTAAAACAGTATAAAACTACGTCGTGTTCATGTATTGAACTCTGGGTTTTTCCAGCAACTATACCCATAATATCTATAGGCCTTCTACAACTGAAAAAGAGGTCAACAGAAAAGAAAATACGGGGGGAAAAGATTGCTAAATGGCGACAGACTCAAAAGCTTTACGGTTTTTATCGTCTGCAAGCAACATCTTTTTCTGGCTGTTTCAGTCACTGGATACACGTTAATTTTTTTATTGAGACAATTCTTCGCCGCGAAGACGGACTAATTATTGATATTTGGCTGATTAACACACCTTCGAAACTTTCTCCACATTTTCTGGCGTGAACTTTGGGTTGTCGATGTATTTTTTCAGTTTCTTCAGAGTAGAGTCAGGGATATTGTCCTGGAAACAAAACAAGCAGAAAGGGTATATAATTCCTATATACAATTTGTTACAAATTCAAGTTCCTGCACAAATAGGGGAGCAGAACGTCATAAAAAGAATAGTTTAAAAGAATCAAAATTTTGCAAAGAAAAAACGAGGTGAAATCTTAATCGGATGGTAGGCACATATTTCTAAGCACACGAATACCAAGTAGATGTTGCATCACACATCTTAAACAATTAATCAGTAGTTTGTGGCGATTTGTAAAGCTTGGAAATACCTTACTAAACTAGCTAATGTGCTTATGAAAGAAATATCAAAAGCAAGAATTATAACTAATTTTATGGAGGGGGTGTGATGAAACACTCTGAGTAATAATAAATATTTAATTTGAAAAGAGTTACTTAGATATGAAGTATTCAGTACCTTATTATATTCCATAAGCCTGGTCAAAAACTTGGCGTCACCCAGCAGAGATTTTGCCGCTGCCCAGTCGGGCCTAAGGAGTACATTATTAAATGATCAACAAA